ATATTATTTGAGTATTAAATGGTGAACAAGAATAAGAATAATTTTTTTTATATCGATGAATAAATATATATTGTAAAATTAAATTTATATTAATATAACGTGTAAGCAGAATGATATATTAATTAATATATCAACGTTATGACTAAAATAAATATCACTGATTGAAAGAAGTGGAAAACTGATGATGCAACCCTATTATTTTTTGCCAAAATGTACAAGCCCTATAGAAATGACTCAATTAATATATGTGTCCCGTGCATCGCACGGGCTATGCACTAGTACACAAGAAAAAGCATAATCGAATTCTGATATCAGCGAGCCCGAAAGACTCCGAAATGTGAAGTCGCTCAAGTGGTCCAAACACCAGCCCAGACTCGCACCGCGCCTCCATCACGCCGCGCGCCGCTCCGCGACCCCACTGCAGAGATGTTGTCCCGAGCCCCGCGCCGCGACATCTAGCACGCCGCGTCACCTTGGCAGCGCCACGCCGTAGTAGAGCAGCACGCCGTGACACCTACCCAGCTCCGCGCCGTGCCACAGACCGCGTCCCGCGTCACGCCCGGACAAAGGCTACCCAGAACACCAGCGCCGCGCCGTTGCACTTCCTCACGCCGCGACCAACCCATGCCCCGTGCCGCGAGCCCCTGTCGCGCCGCGGCAATCGCGCCCTGCACGCCGCGCGCTCACTTCCTCACGCCGTGGCTTACTTTTCCTATAAATATGTGTACGAGAACTCGTTTTAAACACACACTCTTGATCGGGTGCAAACCCTAGGTCCGGATAAAGCACGACAAAACTCCTCTCTTCCCCTTCTTTTTCTCTCATCTTTTCCATCGTTTTTCTTCCTTTCTTCACCCTTATCTTCCATTTTTCTTCTTCTTTTTCTTAGTTAGGGATTAAGCTTGTAATTCAAATTCAACATTTGAACTTGGATTGATTGTAAGTATTTCTTTCTCTTGTTTAATTCATGAATAATGATTGACTTGAGTAGAATGATTATGTTCGCACCGGTTCAGGGTCCTCCAACTCTCGGCCCGGGATCGGCGTGATTTCAACCTGTAACTGATTTTGGTGATCATGACTAGAACTAAATTATCTGATAACATATGTCGGTTTGAATTGGGAAAACTCAATCTCGACTCGCTTATATATTTAAAACAAACTAAACCCAAATAGTTAATTGATCTTGTCGATCAAACAAATAGAGTCGAGCATGTTGCACTCAACTCTGTAAGAGTTTTTTCTTTGACTAGAAAATGAGGCCAAATTAATTATAGGATGCGAAATCAACCAAAAAAATAATAATGATAAATGAAAATGGATAACAGACTGTGCAATGAGACGAACCCAATTAAATAGCCCGCAGGAGAAGTGTGTGTCAAGCTTAATTATCTAGCTCATTTGACACTCGTCAAGTCAACCCATTAAAAAAATTAAAAGACAAGAGTGTGTTGAACTACATTATAAACCCAACTGATAAAAATCTAATAAGGACACAATTGTCATTTGACAATAAAGAATTATCTTTTCTCCACTGCGATCATCAATTTTCCTCCATTGTTGTCATATAAAAAATTTCGACCTAAATCTTGAGGCATCCAGCCCAAAACTAAGTAGGGCTACATAAAAAATTATATGGGGCTAATGGTGCTTATGCATAATTTTTTTTTAAAAAAAAAATAACATAAGCAATTTTTATTTTTTTTAGGGACATGTGGCTGGAGCCCACCATATCCCTAGGGTGGCTCCGCCCATACAACTCATTTTTTTTTTTGGTACAAGAAAGGGAGGCAAAGCCTAGAATTTCTAACTCAAAACATTCCTAGGAAGAGCGATGCCCATCCTATCATGATGCAACCACATGCTCACCCCCGGAGGGGGATTCTCCAACCTCTGCAAGCCGCCCAGACATTTCGCCGCCAAGGAGGCTAAATAATCTGCCACACAATTGGCTTCCCGATAGCCATGAACTATGTGCACCTCCCACTGACGATGAAGAAGCTCCATTATGCCTTTCACCAAACCGCCATGAAGACCGCACCAACGCTCCTGGGTAACCATCTCGATCACACTCTTATTATCAACCTCATCGGTAACTCGACGGGCACCAATATCCCAAGCAAGTAGCAGGCCCTGGAATAAGCCCCAAAGCTCCGCTCCAACAATCGAATAGAACCCAATATTCAGCACGAAACCGTGCACCCAATTCCCACCATGATCGCGAATAACACCACCCACACTACCCATGTCCGTAGAAGGATCAAAGCTCCCATCGGTATTGATTTTTAATTCTCCTGCCACCGGTCCCGACCACGAAATCAGCTGCCTCTCTCGAATACCACGCACTCCGACACTCAGGCCTCCAGCCGATACGCAGCGCGTCATTTCCACAAATGAGAAGACCTCACTCAACCGGCGATCCATGGGGACGTCCGAATTTTGGAAAAGCTTAAGATTCCGCCAACGCCATAATCGCCACGCCGTAAGACCAAACAATGAACATCAATCTTCTCGAGCCCGACTTAAGTTCCCACTAAGGTTATCCATCAGCCACCTTCGGATGTCCAAGGCGAAGAAAACACCCCAGTAGCGGTGAGGCAGTATCTTCTTCCATGTATGAGTCACCTCCGTACAATCCCTTAATGCATGCAACGTAGATTCACCGGCCGTGAAACAAATCGTGCATGTCGGGCTCTCAGCCATGTGCCGCCTATGTCGTGTAACATTCGTCAAAAGGCTATCTCGTGCAGCAAGCCACAGAAATGCTTGAACACGCTGTGGGCCCACCCATTTCCAGATCATCTTCCACAAGGGGTCCGAGCACCTGCCTGCAGGTTTTACTAAAGCCCTATAAGCTGACCTCGTGGAGAAGCGGCCATACGCTGCCAACCCCCAAAACATCTCGTCCTCCCCGCCATCCACCTGCGGTGGCGGAATAGCAGCAATCCTCAACAAGCATGTGACGGGCAGCAGGTGTTGGAACAGAGGCCAATGCCACTCCCCCGCCAGCGTAACGTAAGCGGCAACCGGAGCAAAGAGAATAGCCTCTGGGACCGGAACTTGCGCAGAGCAAATCAACGGAGACTCACCATTCAACCATTTATCCCACCAGAAGCGAACTCGCCGGCCATTACACACGGTCCACCGACAGCCGGCCAAAGTGTCCTTCCATTGACACCAAAGTGACCTGATAACAGTCGAGCCTTGAGGAAATTCAAAGTTGTCGCCCATCTCCTCCGGAAAAAGCACGTATTTAGCTCGAAGCACCCGACACCATAACAAGTGCGTCTGTGTCAAAAAGGACCACGCTAACTTCATGAGTAAAGCTCGGTTCATAAGTCGTTGATCCTTCATCCCCAGTCCGCCCTCCTCCTTTGGCCGACAAACTTCAGTCCAAGAAACGAGGCTGACCTTACGAGTCGAGTCCGTCCCTCCCAAAATAAAATTACGACACTTTCGCTCCAAACTATCACAAACCCCATACGGTAAAGAGGCCGTTTGCATGGAAAAATAAGGCAGTGAACTAATCGCCCCTTGGGACAGAGTGACCCTTCCAGCCATTGAAAGAGCCGTCGCCTTTCAACCGGCAAGCCGCTTCTCTGTTTTCTCCAAGATCGCCGCATAAGTGGACTTGGTCACCCGACTATGGATTATCGGCATGCCCAAGTACTTACCAAGATTGTCAACGGCTTGAAAACCTAATTGTTGAGCCAAAAAGGTTCGAACAGCCCCCTCAACATTAGAAGAAAAGAACACTTGGGTCTTAGGCTCGCTCACTTTCAAGCTCGAGGTCGTATAAAAACGCTGTAGGATGTCCTTCAAAAGAGTCGCCTAGATGGGGTCCGCTTCTATAAATAGAAGCAAATCATCAGCGGACAATAAGTACGGAATCGAGACCTGGCCACGATCAACTGAGATCGGACGCCAATTGCCATACGCCACAAAAGAATCTATCAAATGGGCCAATCGCTCGATACATAGGACAAATAGGTATGGAGAAATGGGGTCACCTTGCCTAATTCCATGAGAAGGCAAAAATTCCTCAGTCACGACACCATTCCATTGTAGCTGCATAGTTGCCGACGTGACACATGCCATCACAGCATCAACAAAAATGCCCGGGAAACCCACCAACTCCAAAGTATCACGAATGAAGCCCCAGTGAAGGAAGTCATGTGCCTTCTCCAAGTCCACCTTAACAATCATCATTCCCTTCTTCCCCTTCATCCCACACATGGAATGAATAAGTTCCTGAGCAATAATAATATTATCCGTAATATGCCTTCCCGGGACAAAGCTAGCTTGGGCCGGGTTGATCAGAAAATGAAGCACCGGCTTCATCCGTTCGCAAGGACTTTGGTCGTCAATTTGTAGACCACAGAGCAGGCTAATAGGGCAAAATTGTTTCAAAGAAATCGGATTCTCCACCCTAGGATCAACATCAATAATGTCCGATTCAAAGACCTCGGGACTCTACCACCTCTCCAAATCTCACCAATTTGAGCACAGACCGAAGAGCCGACATGTTGCCACTTACGTTTAAAGAATAAGGCATGCAGCCCGTCCACTCCAGGCGCCTTAAGAGGCGCCATTTTCTTCAAAGCCGTAACCACCTCTGAGGCAGAAATATCATCCGCCATCGTCTGAGCGTGTCCAGCCTCCAAAGCCGGAAAAGAGCCCGGCAGACGAAGCCCGTGTGATCCGGTTGCTGGACCCGAGTAAATATCTTTAAAGAAATCAACGGCCATCCTCTGCATCACTCCCGAGTCATCAGTAATGTCCCCAGACGCATCCTGGAGTGCTACAATTTTATTTTTTCGGCGACGATGTTTAACTAGCCGGTGATAATAAGATATATTATGATCGCCAAATAAGACCCAGTCCCGTCGGGACTTTTGTAGAAAGAGTAACTCCTCCTGTTTCAGGCCCAGAGGGTCCCCCATAACCCCCGAAGGTTCCCCATGACCCCCGCGGGTCATACGCTGATTACTACTTCCCTGTCATTTCTTAGACTTACCCGAGAACCTCCGCCATTCTTCTTTCCCTTTATCAGGCCCAGAGGCACCCGATGACGATCCCAGCATACTCTTCTCCAGCCCAAAGGTAAACGTAGGCTCGACACCCTGTACAGATTCATGTTCCTCTCTCTCATGCTCCCAGAGGGCATCGAACCTCGACCCTCGACCACCACCATTTACCGGCTGCTTCAAACCAACCACTTTGTCCCCTCTACTACACCCATTAGCCGGCCGGTTCATAGTCTTCGCCACAATCCACGGACCATACACACTCGAGTTGCCCCCATCATCCTCCGCCGTCTTAGTCGACCCACCCGCAGCATCGCCGGTAGTGTCACGATTACCATTCCTCTGAGCCACACCATCAGCTGACTCCCCCTCCCCCGCACTTGAGCTAGAGCGATCTGGGCAAAGCGCCACGGCATGTCCGTAAATTCCACAGTGAAAACAGATGTTCGGGAAAAACTCATATTCCACTCGCTGGACCTTTCCACGGATAGCGAAACTTGCGCATAAGGGCTTACGTATGTCCAACACCACCGCTAGACGCGCATACTGTTGACATAATCATTTCTTCATCATATTGATCATGCTGTGCATGATGGATTTTCTTTTTTGGTGTTTTAGTCGCATTTTCTTATTATGAGACTCGTGCTTTATTTTTTCTGTTTTTTTGTTATTGAATTTTAATTGTGAAAGGACTACTTTGTCCTCGTCATGTAAAACGAGCTGAGGGTTCTTATATCCTCACTTCTGTACTTTCTTTCTTTCGAGCTAAGAAGTTATATGAAAATTTCCCCAAAATATCTCTACTCTAGATCTGTTATCCCTTTCTACATGGTATCTAGAGCAGGTTGAAAATCATCGTCAATGGCGGGAAATGATGAGCGAAGCAGGCAAGGGCGTGAGATCGTGACTCGGAATTTCTCTCGCGAAAATGATCCATTATCTCTACATGGATCCGATCATCCAGGATTGATTCTGGTTACAAACCAGCTCACAGGCATGAACTACCTTCACTGGAGTCGTGCGATGAAATTAGCGTTGGGCGCGAAATCCAAGCTTGGATTCATATTTGGCACAGTCACCATACCAGAACAAAACACAGACGATTACGATCAGTACTAAAAGGTTGAATATATGGTTATTTCATGGATACTGAACTCAATTTCAAAAGATATAGTTGAATCGTTTCTCTGTGTGAAAACCGCGAAGGAACTGTGGGATGAACTAGCTGAGAGGTTCGGTGAAAGCAACGGACCGTTGAAATATCAGCTGAAAAAGGAAATAGCTAATTTCGTGCAAGGTACACTCTCAGTTACATCTTATTATACAAAATTGAAATGTCTGTAGGACGAGTACGCATGCCTAGTTTCTCTGCCTGAATGCGTGTGTGGATTTGGAAAGGCTTTGAATGAAAATGATATGGAAGGAAGAATGATGCAATTTCTGATGGGATTGAATGAAATGTATGAGCCTGTTAAGAATCAGATTTTGTTGCTTGACCCTCTACCTACGGTTAACAAGGCTTATTCCATGATTTTGAAAGTTGAAAAACAGAAGTTGAATCATGTGATCTCAGATCCTCTTGAAACATTAGCCATGATGGTTAAAGGTTTAGGCAGAGGTGGTCATAAAACTGTTTTCTTTAGCAGAGGAATTGGTAAGGAAACATATGGACAAAATTCTGGAAATTTTGGTCGAGGAAGAGGAGTCAACAGATTGACAAAAGAAGAGAAAGCAAAACTATTTTGTTCACACTGTGGTTTTAATGGCCATGACATGCAGAGTTGTTTTAAGTTGCATGGATATCCGGATTGGTACAAGGACATGAAGCAGCAAAGGCTGAGTTTCACAGCCAACATGGTGGGAGGTTTTGAAACAGATAAGAAAGATTTGGAATGTAGATCTCAGGAAGGGGAAACAACACAAGAAAACATGGGTGCATTGCTAAGAGAAATTGCAAAATACATTTCAAAACAACAGGAGGCAGAAACACAATCTTTCTCACACTTTGTGGATTATGCAGGTACTCTTAAAGAAGGTTATGCCTTATCCTTGTTAGATGAATTAGATAAGGAGAGCTGGATTATAGATACTGATGCTTCTAGGCATATTTGTTCTTGTCCTGAGATGATGAGAAATTTATGTTCTCTTACTAGCCCTATTGTTGTGAACTTACCTGATGGATCGAAGTTCAAAGTGCATCAAAGTGGTGAAGTTGAAATAGCTGGGAACATTGTATTGAGAAATGTGTTATTGGTGCCTAATTTCAAGTTCAATCTATTGTCTGTGGGACAACTCATTGCTGACAGAGATGTGAGACTCTTGTTCACTAACAGAGAGTGTCAATTGCAGGACCATAAAGGACACAACACTGTGGCCTTTGGGAAAGCATTTGGAGGAATGTATATAATGGGTAAGGAACACTGCAATTTCAGTGCAGTCAAAAGGGAAGAAAAAGATAAAAAAAGACTTCAGTAATGGCATAAAAGACTTGGCCACAGTTCTATATCTTGTTTAAGACACATAGATTTCTTAAAGACAAGCTGTCAGAATCAAGAATTGGGCATTTGTGATACCTGTCATAGAGCAAAACAGTGCAGGCTTTCTTTTCCACTGAGTTGTATTAAAACTGCTGAGAAATTTGATCTAATTCATGTGGATGTCTAGGGACCATATAGTGAGCCATCACTCACCAACACCTCTTATATGCTCACCATAGTTGATGATTTCACAAGAGCCACTTGGATTTTTCTTATGAAAAGTAAAGGAGAGACTCATAATCACATCAAATTTTTCCTCAATATGACTAAGGTGCAGTTTGGAAATGCTGTGAAGCAAATGAGAACAGACAATGGGTCAGAATTCACAAACAAAGAGATGCTCAGTTTATTACAGTATAATGGTGTTATACACCAAAGATCTTGTACCTACACCCCACAGCAGAATGGGGTAGTAGAAAGGAGACACAGGAGTATTTTAGAAGTGGCTAGATCATTGTATTTGCAGGCTAAACTGAGGAGGGACCTTTGGCTTTATACTTTGTTGGCAGCTGTTCATATTATCAATTCCTTACCTAGTGAAGTTCTGAAGTGGAAAACTCCTTATGAATTATTGCATGGAGAAGCTCCTAGTTATGACAGATTCAAAGTTTTTGGGAGCTTATGCTATGCAAAGAGGAATATACCACACAGGAAGAAATTTGATTCAAGGGCTTCATCTTGTGTGTTCCTGGGATATGTTAATGGTGTCAAAGGTTTCAGAGTGCTTGATCTTGATACTGATGAGGTCTTCATTTCCAGAGATGTTATCTTCCATGAAACACAATTTCCTTTTCATAAATGTGAGATTTGATGACTATTCTGTACCACTGCCAGTGCCATATGATGGTCCCTCAGAAATTGAAGAAGTTGAAACCAATGATCCAATTGAGCCTTCTGAAGAAAAAACCTCTTCTAAGTCAGTCCGAGTTCCAAGACACAGGAAACCACCAGCATGGTTATCAGATTATGTGACAGATTTGGTGATTGTTGATGAGAAGGTTGAAAGGGCAGCTCATACTTTTTTCACTCAGGTTGGGATAACAGAAAGTGAACCACTATTTTATGAGCAGGCTGCACAACAAGCAAAATGGATTGGTGCCATGAACAAGGAACTTGAAGCTTTGGAGCTGAACAATACTTGGACTTTGACTTCCCTACCACCAGGGAAGAAGGCCATAGGGTCCAAATGGGTTTTCAAAATTAAGAGAAACCCAGATGGAACTATAGACAAGTATAAGGCAAGGTTAGTTGCCAAGGGATATTTACAGAAGGAGGGGATTGGTTTTTTTGAAAGTTTTTCACCTGTGGCTAAGATGGTGTCTGTTAGATTCCTCCTTGCCCTAGCAACTCAGAAACAATGGGAGATCCATCATGTTGATATTAATAATGCTTTCCTCCATGGATTTTTGGAGGAAGAAGTGTATATGTCACCTCCAAAAGGATATACCAAGGCTGAACCAAACCAGGTGTGTTTATTACAAAGAAGCTTGTATGGGCTCAAACAAGCTTCAAGGCAATGGAATATTGAGTTCTCTGATAAACTGATTTCCTATGGTTTTGTCCAATCTGCCAATGACCATTGTCTCTTTATCAAACAAGGAGATCACAGCTTCTTGGGTTTGCTGATTTATGTTGATGATGTGATGATCACAGGTACTCATACTACAGATATTATTGCCTTGAAATCTTATTTGCACAAGTTGTTTACTATCAAAGATCTTGGAATTGCAAAGTTTTTTTTGGGGCTTGAGTTGATTAGAACAGGCAATGGACTCTTCCTTAGTCAAAGGAAATACATTCAAGACATTATTCATGATTTGGGATTAACAGATTCTAAGCCTGTGGTCACTCCACTTCCACAAGGCATCAATCTGTCTTCTCAACAGGGTTCTTCTTTGGCAGATGAGGGACTTTACAGAAGACTTATTGGGAGGCTCTTATACCTTAACCTCTCTCGACCTGATATCTCCTTTGCTGTCCAACAGCTAAGCCAATTTGTCCATTCTCCTACTAAGGCTCATTGGTCTTCTGCTCTTCATCTGGTCAGATATCTTAAAGGCAGTCCTTCTCTAGGGTTATTCTATGCCAGTCAACCTTCTACACACCTTGAGGCCTTTTGTGATGCAGACTGGGGCAGCTGCACTTTAACTAGGAGATCTCTGACCGGCTATTGTGTTTTCCTTGGCCAAGCATTGATCTCTTGGAAGACCAAGAAGCAGAAAACGGTCTCTCGATCCTCGGCCGAGGCTGAATACCGCTCCATGGCCACCACTGTTTGTGAACTCAAATGGCTCTCTTATTTGGCTAAGGATTTTGATCTGCACCTTTCTCTTCCCATTCCTTTGTGGTGTGATAACAACGCAGCCTTGCACATTACCGCCAACCCGGTGTTTCATGAACGCACCAAGCACTTGGACATCGATTGTCATGTGGTGCGGGATATGTTTAACGCTGGCTTCATTGCTCCTTCTCACATTGCCTCTTCAGCATTGCCTCTTCTTGCGCAAGTTGGGAATGCGAGCTTACTCACCCATTCCCACTTGAGGGGGGGGGGGGGGGGNACTGTTGACATAATCATTTCTTCATCATATTGATCATGCTGTGCATGATGGATTTTCTTTTTTGGTGTTTTAGTCGCATTTTCTTATTATGAGACTCGTGCTTTATTTTTTCTGTTTTTTTGTTATTGCATTTTAATTGTGAAAGGACTACTTTGTCCTCGTCATGTAAAACGAGCTGAGGGTTCTTATATCCTCACTTCTGTACTTTCTTTCTTTCGAGCTAAGAAGTTATATGAAAATTTCCCCAAAATATCTCTACTCTAGATCTGTTATCCCTTTCTACACATACTTACCCCTCGTTTGCGCCGCTGTTTGATGATCAACCTTCACCATCTTTCCGACGATATCTCCAATTGTACGAAAGACTTGCTTATGATATAAATGGACCGACATACCCGGCAAACGAATCCATGTCACCAAAGAATGGATTTGATTACACGAGGCATCAAATTCATCAGTCCACGGTTGAACATGAAGATAATATTTCTGATATTGTTTGGAAACAACCCAGGGCCCACCAACAAGCCACGTTCAGCATAAGCTAATCTGAAAATAACCATTCTCCAAGTCAACCATGTCACACCCACTCATAAAAGGCCACATCACACACAGCTTGTTATATAAGAGTGAATGAGAAAAAGCTGCTCCCATCACCTTCACGACCACTACGTTTCTCCAAGAAAGAAGCAAAGTCTCATAAAAGCTAGGTTTGAAGCGAATATCCGGTAACGGTCCTTGGCGGTCAACAATCACATCATCCAATGTATCTTCCCCCTCATCATCGGAAACCAAGTCAATATGAGGCCGATTCCGATCAAGTATATCCCTGAAACTCACCGCCCCCGGCGTCATTGCCGATTTGAGCTCCGCAAGGTTATCCTCCGCCCGACCGCTATCTAGGGTTTCGTGGACTCGCGAGCGCTTTGCAAACGGGCGTTTTCCAGAAGAGGAGAGGGCGCCTTATGCATCGTTGTGAACTCGAAGGTGTCGCGATCAGGAGGATCAGATTTCAAATCGTCCGGCGGGTTACGAGCGTGCGCCGACGATGACATAGGGTTACTAAAGAGCTCTCTTCTTTTAATAATGGTGCGTTGATTTTTTTCGTTTTCACGTTTGTCAAATGGGTATATTTTTTCCATACAACTCTTTTTATATACTTCTTTTTTGAGTTTCCGCAAATAAATTATTCCAGCATAAATTCTGTTTGCGTAAACCCTGAATCGTTTGTTTTAATTTCTGGGACCCTTTTAAAATTCTTTAGCCCTTTTACAATTTTATTGGGTCTCTTTTTTTTTAAGAAAAAGAGGTGATGTCGATTCTTGAGCGCGATGGGATTGATGGACTGATGTTTTCGGAGAATGGTATTAAAAAGAATTTTGAGAAGATTATTATTGATACTGATCCTGGCATTGGTAAGAATTACGAACCCTTGTTTTCTATTTATGCGATAAAGATTGGAGTTTTTTGGCTTATTTATTTATTTATTATTTTTTTTTTTTTTGGGTTTTAGCTTATTGGTTCTGGGCAATTTGGGTTTTATGCTGGTGTAGTTTATTATGCTGATGGAATCTGAATGTGGCATCTTTTGGAATCACTTTTCAGTTGATCTTTTTCATTTTGTCCTTTTGACTGCTCAGTGTACTATATATTATCAGGCTTTGGACAAAGATAAGGTATAGTTTAGAAAATTATCATTTATGAAGTCTGTGTTTGTGAAAGAAGAAAAAATATATATATAGAGCAAAATGTGAACTTGCAGATTATTTGGGGTAAAAGTTTGTCTGGAATTAGGAGTGGATGAATTGTATAGTAACTAAGTGGCAAAATATGAGAGATCAATTAGATTATTCGGAATCTATAAAGTAGAACACCGATTCCCTATGAGTAGGAACACCAGTTCAATATGTGAGGAGTCAGTTTTGAAAAAGCTCAAGATCACTAAGGTTCGGATATTGAGTCCTTTGAGTGAATGTTGATTGAGTATGAGATTTACATGAAAGGATATTGAGTCCTTTGAGTGAATGTTGATTGAGTATGAGATTTACATGAAAGGATATTGAGTCCTTTGAGTGAATGTTGATTGAGTATGAGATTTACATGAAAGAATACATTTTGTGTGTTGTCTATTCTGAAACAAATGCTGTTTGGAATATGCAGATGATAGCATGGCAATACTAATGGCATTTCAGTCACCTGAATTGGAGATATTAGGATTAACAACAACATTTGGCAATGTTACTACAGAAGCTGCCACGCGTGATGCATTGATTCTGGTATGCTTTTTTTTTTTTTTTTAATATATATATTTATCAATTTCAGTGCCTTGCTACTGTATATTTGCATTCCGGTTCTTGTTTTTTGGACATGTTCATGATCACTTAATGTATTTTAATGCAAAAAAAGGATAGTGTGAGCTTGCTGGACGTCCAGATTTGCCCGTGGCAGAGGGAAATCCTGAACCATTGAAGGTATAATAAAAAATAGACAATGTGATTATTTATTTGCAGTAAAAATGGTTTTCAATTAGACAATGTGATTTATTACGTGTGCATTTGAATCAAATGAATAAGAAGTAAACTAAAAAATGGCACTCGTTGAATAAATAGAGTACAAGAATTCGAACACTAGCGTTATTTTCCCTTGCTCTGTTACATTATGACTGGTTAACTGTATAGTAGCCTTTCTTTATTCTGAAATGTGAATGTATGAGCATGAATTATATTTCCTAATTTAAGCTATATCTTGACCTTGTCCGTTGCAAATGGAGCTGGAAGAGTCATTGTTGACAATTCTTCTGGCATTGTGCTAATAATGGACTAGATCAAAATGACTCAATTAAATTCTAGTGCTTCTTCTATTAGTGAAGTTTCTAGAAAAAAAAAATATATCAAACGGCACAATGCACCTTGGGTCGCTACGGAAACAGCCTCCTTGGATAATTACAAGGGTAAGGTCTGCGTACAACTGACCCCCAGACCCCAACCTGTTGGGAATATACTGGGTATGTTGTTGTTGTTGTTGTTGTTGTTGTAAGCTATATCTTGACCATATTTAAATATAAAAACAGAGAGGACCACCACGAATTGCAGAGTTTGTTCACGGCTCAAATGGATTGGGTAATATCTCAATTTCTCCTCCCAAATCCAAGAAATCCGAAAAATCTGCATCTGAATTTTTGGTTGATAAAGTCTCTGAATATCCCGGTGAAGTTTCTATACTTGCATTGGGCCCCCTTACAAATCTCGCGCTTGTAAGTTAGTCATTATTTTCGCAGTTATTAGTTTTGCTCATGTTATTACTTGTGCCCAAAATTTATCCCTTTTTCTCGATTTTAGGCTATAAAGAGAGACTCCTCTTTTGCAAGCAAAGTGAAGAGAATTGTGATTCCTGGTGGGGCTTTCTTTGCTTTGGGAAATGTTAATCCTGCTGCCGAAGCAAATGTAAGTAATTCATGCCTTTTCTATAGTTGTTTGTTCATTCATCTTCTGAGATTGTACCTAAAGAATCCGTAATTTTTTGTGTATTAAAAATGTAAACTTATTTTGCTATAGTTTACTTAAAATCTCCAAAAATCATGATTTTAATTTGGTGTGAGTGGCAGATATATGGAGACCCAGAAGCTGCAGATATTGTATTCACTTCGGGGGCAAATATCGACGTTATTGGCATAAATACCACAAACCCAAGTCAAAATGACAGGTCAAAATTCAAGTTTTCTATTGAGATAAAAGTTTTTTATTTCCTTCAACTGAGCTGATTTGTACTGGAATAATAGTATCGTAATTGAACGTATATTGTCTTCAGATGTGCACCTAGACGAGCTGAAGAAATCAAAAGGACGGTACGCGAAGTTCATATGTGATATTTGCAAGTTTTATCGAGACTGGCATGTGAAGTCCGATGGCGTATATGGTAATTTTCATAGCTTTATAAGAACAAAAACACTCTACCTCATCTCATCAGTTTATTGGGGAATCTACACGGAACTAACCATGAAAATCCAGTATTATGGAAAAACAACGTAATTTTTTTTTTTTTTTTGGTTCAGGAATTTTTCTTCACGATCCTGTGAGTTTTGTGGCGCTAGTGAGACCTTATTTGTTTACCTTCAAGAAAGGAGTTTAACGGGTTGAGACACAAGGCATTTGTGTCGGGCATACACTTATGGACCAAGGATTGAAGAAGTATGATTTTTAACTTTCTTTTTTCATTTTTAAAAAATGGTACTTTTCTTGGGAAATTTTTGTATGTAATATGATATAAAAATTGACTTGAAACTAATTTTGATGCTACAGATGGAACTCAAACAATCCATGGTCAGGCTTTTCTCCAGTTTCAGTAGCCTGGACAGTTGATTCCCAAGAAGTACTTAAATATGTGAATGAGATTTTAATGAAGCCCTGATGTGGAGCGTGTATATGCAGAATAAATGTATATCCTGCTAATTAATTATGATTTGAGGAAAAAAAAACTGTGGAAATTTGTGACATTGATTTCTTATGATTGGAACATCATTTAGACATTTTCCATGTAACTGAATCAGTTCTGTGGAATATCTTGGTAATTATTCAACACTTTCTTACTTTCATGTTCTTGGGATGCTTGATTCATCACAGTTGTGTTTGTTTGTTNCTGAAAAAAAAAAAAAAAAAATTGGGACAATTTTCAGTTCCTCTAAGAAATTAATCAGGGAATGTTCAGTTCCAACTTCCTACACCCATTTGAATCTGGATTAGAATTTTAGAATGAAAATGAATATTGAAAAGTTTGAAAAGAGATACTATGAGAAGAAAGAAAATGAGTAAAGGAGCAGACAATGGATAAAAATGCATGATAATATGTTGCAATATAGATTGGCAATTTTTTTCTTGCCAAACAACTCCCAACTCTATAAACCTAAACAAAAAATATGTTCTCTCATAATTAAAGCTAAATGAGGTTGATTGAGAATTATTGGTGTTATCCAATAATGCAGCTAAACTAATATTAACCAAAATCAATTAAATCACTGAACCATCTCTGCCGGCTTTTATTGCCACTTTTGAAAAAAGGTTACCGTGGCGCAACCCCATTTTATAGAATTTAAAAACCCAACGATGAGGAGAAGTCTTCAACAGTTAGGGCCCTACTATTTTCGTACATGAAAATGGACAACGAGTCAAAAGGTCAACACCCTTTTTCGTGATAGATTTTCATAAAAGCAGTAGTTAACCAACTCATATTTATGAGATTTTAGGTCATCAAATCCCAAATTTAAGACCCAATTTCTATAATTTCTTTTTGCATGCTTAATTCTACATCTTTGCTGATCATTAAATATCTTAATCATTATTCTCGGCCATATAGAAGGTAAAATCGAGTTTAGCCATATACCTTTTTTCGACTAAATAAGAAATGGAGAAGAAGGGCTCGGGTCTCGGTTTTTCTCGGCTTTCTTTCTATAATTTTTACTAAGTGTATATGCTTGTGATGGAGAAAAACCATCTAACACCTGGTTAATATGTTTATATAGACCTAAGACAAGAGATAAAGGATTTCAAATTAAGTCTATGAAGACAGTTGTCTTTATGAGAAGTGTTAGTGGCAAATGAAGTAGCTTAGTCATTCATTTAGGCGGCTTGCACACCTCTTAAGCCTTCTCACATTTTATCCTTTCAATTGATCAAGATTGACCGAATTAGATCATTAAAATCTTAAGCATAAATCACTTAGGCACGAGAAATTGACGAGCTTGAAAACAATTTAGGCGCGTCATTTAATACTAGGGGAGAGATAATTTCCTTGGACCATGAGTGACTAAATCTTAGGCTAATTACATTTAACTAGTGCATGACCCGTGCGATGCACGGAAATAATATGACGATTGTATTATAAATTAAATATATAAATAAGATTAATCATGATTTATCCATTGTTTTTAAATTAAACCGGGTTGGACACAGTCCGACCGGATGAACCGAGAACCGGTTTATAACCAGTCTAGTTCGCTTGAATAATATATTTGTTCTCGAATTCGTCAACATCAGTCGGTTGAATTGGTAGGATCGATACGATTTTCTAAATAAATTTTGTTATATTTAAAATTATTTTAAATAAAATTTTATATTTAAATAAAATAGAGATTTATAAATTATTTATCAATTTAAATTTATAAATTGTTTAGATATCTAAGCAACACATTTTATTTAATTTTATTTAAATTTATTTAAATTTAAATTATATATATTAAAATATTTATAAATCGAAATCTAAATAAACCACAAAAGATTTAATAAAATAGCTTGATAAAAATAAAAATAAAAACATACACACTTAATAAACCTTAATCGAATTTTTTAAATAATAAAATGAAGTAAAACCCAAAATTAAGGTAACATTTAACGCTATATAATTTTTAAAGCAAAAAATAAAAAAAATAGTAAAACTTACTATTTATATACTGCATTAAATTCTGACTTATTTTTTTGCTACTATTTTTGATAAATAGTAATTCTTATTATATATATATAGATTTGATAACTAAAGACTTATAAAAATTCTAAGAGAAATACTACATAAGTTCGTTAGGGTTCGGCTATACACGACTTAACTCGAGTCGAACTTGATCGATTCCGATCGCGATCGACAATTTAAATATTTCTCGACTTCGATTAATTCGTTGATTTGAAATAATTAATCCTGACTATTAATGTCCATTTATAAAAATAAACGGATCGGAATTAATTACTGAAATTGACTCGGTTACTGAATAAAATTAAACTGAATCGACTCTCGACCTAAAATCGAACTTAAAACTAAATAGCTTAATAACTAGGCTCGGAACTCAAAACGAGCATTATTAATAAAAGGAAATAGCTAAACTCGGAAGCTAATATCTTTCCTTTATTAATAAAAGACGGGGCGTTACAGCTTCAGTGTCCTCCTCCGAACCAGCCTCTTCCTCTTCTTCATCTGACTTAGCCTCCTCTTCTTCTTCAGCATCTGAACCTTTAGATTCAACGACCTTCTCTTTACCCTTGGCAGCAGCATCCTTACTCTCAGCCTTTCTCTTCCCATTTGCGTTGGAACCTTCTTTTGGTTTCTCCCCCTTACTATCAGCCTTCTTCTTCTCTCCCTTCTTCAATTTAGATGTCAAGGGGGCACGTGTCTTCATAGCTCCGATAATTCTTTGTAGTAACGACGCTGATCAGGCAACTTCTTTTCCAGTCCAGTAAGAACAGCCACATGTTGACTAAGGAATCCCCGGAGCTGGGAAGGAACATCAAATGCCTTAACCATGGAAGGAAGCCGTGGAACTAACTTCACTCCGCCAAGAGCAAGTGGTTTCAGAGTAGGAGAGAGTTCATCACCCACACGAGGATCCATCTTGATCCCTGCCTTGGTCAGAATAACATAGACAGTGGAGAAAACAGGCAATAACTTGTGAGGCTTGGATATCTCAACAAATGACACCACATTGTCAAAAATAATAGACCCCAAGTCGAATGGAGAACCGCATGGAATGCGGAAAATCACCCTTGCTTGAATTGGCGTCACAAACTGTTTGTGCAAGGTGGGAGTCCAATTCAAGGAACCAATTTTCTGTAGTGCATTGGCTTGAGGAGTGAGGCTCTTCACAAAAAGACCAAGAGCAAGCCACTTGCTCAATTTCCCATAATGAGAGGGCTATCAGCACCATCACCTTCGGCATCATCACTGACATTGTTGTCCACAACAGAAGACACTTCCTTGTCATCAGACACACGGTTGTCGGAATTTTCTGGTGTTGGTATCTATGAGGATTTCGTTATGTACAAGTTACGAATTCAATAGAAAACGTAAACCTATGCGCAGCGGATCTAAAGGTTTGATGTAGAAAACTTACGGCTTAAAATTTTCTGAATCTGATGATTCGGGATGACCGGGAACAGCACACGAATGTAACTGGATAACACGAACGGGATGACAGGATCGAGTCGTGTCGGATCGAACTGGTCGTGTGCATTGGGTGGTCAGGTCGTGATCGATCGTGTCGTAGATTGTGCGTCGGTCGTATCGCGTCTTTCGGCTGACGGTCATGTCGCGCCTTACCGGCGGTCGTCCGGCGGGTCTGGGTTAGCGGATCGCGGCCTTCGGGTCGTTGTTCATCAACTCCTTGTAGATGATCACTGGGTCTCGAATACCTTTGGATCTACTGTATTAGTAAAACACCTCTTCAACTTGTATCAGTGGAGCAAGAAGAAGAAGATAAACCTCGAATGAGAACTGAGAGAGAGAGAGATATGGGGAAACTGAATTATTCACGTGAATTGTGGAATTCTTCTCATCTCATTAGCTTAATGACGTATATATAGAGCTACGTAGGGAACTTTAGAAGATTAGGAATAGGGCTCATTAACTAATTAGACTAATTGTGGACCAAATCCACTAATTAATTAAATAATATTATGGGCCACCAACATAATATTATTGCACTCCCTTTTTCAAAGCCCAAATTACATTTTAGACTCCAATTATAATTACTCGATTTACCTCCCCACGTTTAAGATATAATGTCCATTAATTCATTCGATTACTAACAATCAAGAATTAATTAATTTATTATTATGTCACCGAAGCTAGCTCCCGTTCAGCACATTATTATTACGCCGAAACTTAATCCACCTGCAAGGTTTAACATAACAATCCTTCATGAACTCACTTCGAGGACATCATCAAACTAACGCACATGGTGACCGTAAATATCCCAACAGCACATCCGACATACAACAATATTACCCAAGATAGTAGGAAATATTAATCCAGCGAACTGAACCTCACCCAAGTGAATCAAAGTAATATATACTGCATATATATGCCTGTTTAATATCTTACGGGTTAAGAGAACGCAGAGATTAACCGAGGCCTAGTTCGTTTACGATGATCAGTACAAAGCGAATTTCTTCTCTCTGGATCATGTTCAATACATAAATGTACTAGTGCAACTAATCAGTCAAGACCAACTGTACCGTTGACACTACAACCGTTCGGATGGGGTGTTCATTTACATCTAGGTTGTGCACCACAATTCTTGTTTCGCAAGTAACTGATTGAATGATCTTCTGTTCGCCCGATGATGACTCATTCTATCTAAGTGCAAAACAACAGAACATAGAACTTGTTTAATCTAACATTATTCTCATTCATAAAGGGTAAAAGTGTAATATCATCCAAGAATGTGTCATGCTTCATCTAAGTCTTTCATATCAAACTGCTTAGATAACCACACCTTTACGTCTGATAACTCCTTCTTACTATTTCCAATAAGCAGTATGTCATCTACGTAAAGCACAAGAAACACTACCACGCTCCCACTGATTTTCTTGTACACACATTGCTCATTCGGAAATTGTGTGGACGTACGACTGGATCACCTTGTCAAAACGGATGTTCCTAGATCTCGAAGCTTGCTTCAGTCCATAAATAGATCGATTAAGCTTACACACTAGATGCTCACGTCCCTTAGCAATGAATCCCTCTGGTTGCTGTATATAGATGTCCTCCTAAAGGTTCCCGTTATGGAAAGTTGTCTTGACATCCATGCCAGACCTCATAGTCCATATGAGCGGCTACAGCCAAAAGAATCCGAATGGACTTAGGCTAAAAGTTCTCATCATAATCAATATCTCGATCTGGGTATAACCTTTCGCAACAAGTCTAGCTTTG